AGCTGCTAGACATCCTGTGCTCCCTGGTGAGCCTTCTGCCTAGAGTAGCAGTGACTCTCAACAGTGCTAGTGTGGAGAACTGGCCCGGCGTGGAACGCATGGGCACCGTTGCTGCTTGACGAAGTTCTAGAATTTCGACATTGTGAACCACACTTCTCCAGCACCTTTTTACTTTCCTTTTTAATTATTCTTACTATGGATTAAGAGAGTTTCCTTATGCCTTTTCCTTTGGGAGATTTTGTGCAGGCTTTGAAAGATGGAAATGTATAAAAACAGCTGTCTCTTTAAACAAAAAAAAAAATTCAGAAAAAAAAAAAAAAACCCACAAAAATCCAAGCCACTGTAGAACCAGAGAGGACCATACAGTAAGACTAAGACATAAAGGGACACAATTAGGGAACAGCTCAGTGCTTATCCCCTGAAAATTGCTCTTGAATTGTACTGGAGTAGAGTCTGTTTCTTACAAGTCCTTTTCCCATGGACAGGCATTTGGATAAGTGTCTCTACTCCCTTAGGGGCTTGGAGAACTTTCCTGCTTGCTAAAACAGTCATTCTCCCTATCTCTGGCAGGGGGAACCCATGGCCCTTTCATCAATGCAAGAGAGCTCCTGATAAAGTTACAGAACCTTTGAGAACATTGGCGTTTAGATACTTATGGCCTTTGTCTCTGGAAAAATGCTACAGTCAAGTTAATGGCTGTTTTCTGTCCCTGAATCTTTGAGTCTGCTTTCAATCCTGCCTGTGGCTACACTACTGAGTACAGAAGGTTTATCCCTTTTTCAATAAACAGCATAGGCAGCTATCCCAATTCCTCTCAAATTGTGTCTGTTTCCTTCTCCCTGCCAACTCTACTCATCCTCTTTGGGACATGAAGCACCCCACCACCATCACCACCACCACCAAACTGACCTTATGAAAGCCAACATTACATTTTAGGTTTTAAATACTGTGCTAAGAGATCCTTGAAACAAAAATGCCTCTGATCTGCAAGCCTCTAGCTCAAGAACAGATAGTTCCTGAAATGCTGGAGGCTATTGTTTATGGGAGATAACATGTCACATGCATTCACTCCCCTAAACAAGACTGTTTGACCCATCTACATGGGATGTGCTTGATCATATGTGGGCAGGATATTCACAGGCAGGAAATAGCCGGGATGTATGCTTGCCTATGATTGGACCTGATGGGAAATACTTAAGCCACTGCAAACTGTGACTGGGGGTCATTTTTCTGGGAAACCAGAGATGGACTTGGCCAGAGAATTCATCATCCTGGCCAGTATTTAATTAAAGCTTGCTTCAAATTTTTTTTTATTTAATTTATTATTTTACATGTCGATCCCAGTTCCCTCTCTCTCCCTTTCACCCTCCCTCTCTCCCTCCTTCCCTCACTTTTACCCTCTCTGCCCTCTCACATGCACTCTAACCACCCTCCCCTCCCATCCCCCCACCCCAATTCCATATGTAGGTGAATACCATCCAGTTGGGGTCATGTAGATCTGACAGGTCATGTGAAGTAGGGACTAGGGCTTCTCTCCTGTCTCTAGGTTAAGGCAGTTATTCCTCCATTGGGGGATGTGTTAGCAAGGTCGTTTTGTGCACCAGGGATACATCCTGGCTCCACTGTCTGAGGTCCCTTAGACTGCTCAGTACTTCTGGCTGAGATCCTTATTCAGGGGGGTCTGAGTCAGTCCCATGCTGGGTTCCCAGCTATCAGTCTGCTGGCCCGTTAGCTCCTCCTTGTTCAGGTAAGCTGTCTCTATGTGTTTCTGCCACCTGGTCTTGTCCTCTCCATCTGCATCTGGGTTCTAGTTCGACTCAGTGTTTATGTATACGTGTTTGCTCCTGTTTCCAACAGGTATTAGATGAGGGCTCCATGGATAAGTTAGTTGTACATCTCACTATCCAGGAAGGGCATTTATGGTATCCTTTCCATGGATGCTCAAATTGTTAGTTGGCAGCAGTCTTGTAGTTCTCTAGACCTTTCTTTGTGTTCAATTTTTTTCTTCAAACCAATATTGCCTCCCTCTTTTATGTTCTCTCCCTCTTTCTCTCTCCTGTCTTCTATTCCTATCCAGACTCAATCTTCCTAGTCGCACCTGTTTTCCTCTCCTCCCCCTCGCTTTCTCCTACTTCTCTCTCCATTCGCTGCCCCCCCCACTTCCCCTGTGCTCTGGGGGGACTTGTATGGCACTTGAAGATACCATCCTGAATGAGGTAACCCAGTCACAAAAAGAGGAACACAGTATGTACTCACTCATATATGGATTTTAGACCTAGAGCAAAGGATTATCAGCCTATAATTCACACCACCAGAGGAACTAGGATACAAGGTGTATTCTAAGAGATTCATATAAAGCCCCTCACAGAACCGGGAAGGGACAAGCTTGCTTGAAATTTGACTTGAGATTGTGGTAGTGGGAATAACAGTCTCTGGCAGAAAACCATATGGCCTGCTCACACTCAGTTATCACAAATCCTACTCAGAACACCCAATTTTAGCATCACATAAATTCACCCTCAACATTGGCCAAAATGAAAACAAACAATGTAAATGAAGTAATAGAATATACAGGTAACTTAATTATACAGCTTGATCTTTTTGGTGTTTTAAAGTAGAATAAGATAAGCAAGAATGGCAGTGAAGGAAATTTAGTTTAGCTAAAGGAAATGTGCCATTGAGGGACACTGAGTGAATGTTTTGAGTGCAAATGCGAGGCTGAAGTCTCTCTCAATTGCCCTACTGGCATTGCTGCTGGGGCTCTGGGCCTGGAAGAAGGCAGGCGTGAGTATGGCTGTACTGAATGACTGTCTCTCTCTAGCACTGGGACTGTACCACATAGATTTATAGGATTTTGCAGTCAGCCGGGGCCATGGGGACTAGCTAGTGCAGCCACAAACAAAACAGCACTACATAATTTGTGGTCTAGCTCCAGATTTAATTTGTGAGGAAAATATGTAAAAGCCATCCACCCCTGCATTGCACTTCAACATGCCTATGAAAATCCACCATGGCTAAGATATAACAATAATTTTCCCACAGGTGTTGAGCTATGAATGGTAGCAGATAGCATCCACTAAACACACACTGTCTGTGAGAGATTATGGGAGTCTCGCATGTTTCAAGGCTTTATCATCAAACAAAGGTTAAGGGATGTGCTTGGCATTACAAGAGCTTGAAGTGATGAACCTAGAACTCAGCCTAAGCACTCGGACTTTGAAACACGTGCTCATTACCACTACATTGTTCCCCTTATTGCACATATCTGCAGATTTTAATGCATTATGATGCAAAAAAGCTGCATTGTGACCAATAACAAACCACACTTGAGCTTTCATGTTACCAGTTATATGACAAGGCAACTTTAAATTGCTGCATCACTTTCTAATTCGTCAGAATATGTTTGGTCAACTTCATTGTTATCTTATTTTTGTCTCACCATTTCCTCAGTAACTCCTTTGTAATCCATACTTCTCTACTATTACAAGCTTCCCCCCCATCTTGACAGTTCCTTAGGCTTTATATTCCTATATATATACTAACAGCAATTAAAAAACCTCCCTCATTGAGTGATCATATATATATATGTATATACACACATATATACATGTACGTATACATGTATACGTACATGTATATATGTGTGTATATACATATATAATTTAGCTAGAAAATAGGGATTTACAGGACTTTAAATATTTAAATATTACAAATGACAGCAGTAAGATTATAATATAACTTGTAAACAAACTTTTCAGTTCAATTACTGACAATGAAGTTAGAATACATTTTGACTTTCTTCTCCTGGAGATGGCTTCATTGATCAATAGTCACTAGACAGCCTAAGTTCACATGGTTTTACAACAATAGGTGCTGCCAGTCCTGTATCTTTTACTTCCTCTTAATATTTCACACTCTGTGTGTTAGGAAACCTGATCCAAGAACCCCATCCATCTTTCCCCGTTTATTCTTGATTCATTTTCCCCAGGCTTCTGCTAGAAGATCATGCGTGCAAAAGCATCCCCTAACAATGCTAGAGAGGACTGATTGCCTTTATTATGACCGGGCATCTCTCAACTGTCTGCATAGTCTTCCAAGTGTCTCGTTTGCTTTCCCAATTAATGTACCATCCATGCGCTAGTGTCTTTATATGTGGGATTTAAACAGGCATAAAACTGTGGTGTGCTGATGTGATATTTTACTCAACAAGGAACTGAAACAGCCAGTGAAATTAATCTTGAAAACAGGACAGATTATTATCTGTAATAATAACTCATAAGCACATTTGGCTTTTACTCTTTGTATTCCAAAAAGGAATTGCTTTATTTCCTATCAAATGGATTAGCAAAATAGTGTGTGTTTGGGAGGGGGGGCATGTATGTGAGTGTGTGTGCATTTGTGTATTTGGGAGGGGGATGGGGAGAAAGAGAATGTATTTTAACCAAAGCAGCTTTGAAGATATTTCATGTCATAGAGGAATGGTTGTTGATTGGATATAAATATTAAGGAAAGAATGTGACGAATTCCTGAAGATATATTCTTTTATTTAAAATGGTAGCTATCACAACACACCATACAATGAATGAAGACCAGAGAATCACATTGGGAAATTTTAAAAACATCTCTATATAGTCACAAAACATGAAACATGCTGCTAGGATACCAATAGAATCAGATACCAAAGTTTCTACATTGTCAGCCTAAAAGCACAAGACCACACAGGCGTTCCTTCGTTTCTGGCGGCAGTTGTCTGAACCGGCTCAAATCAGCCGTTTCTTTCTTTGGCGACTACATCCTTGGCAAGCTTATGAGATTCCATAGACGCTGTGCTTTGCTGAAGTTACTACTAATTTCTACTGCTGAGGAGGTCACCACATTAGAATTACAACACTTATTGGCACAATATGAAAAAATAAACACTTTTTTTTTTAGTTTCTCCACTCATAATAACATTTGTTATTAAATAAATAATCATTCCTCATAGTGCATGTTTTATTTTACCTTTCACACAAATGAAGCTGAATAATAGTGTGTTAGGTAGTTTATTTACGTCTTCTTTCATAGTTCTGCACTGCATTTCTTTCATAAGCCACTGCAAACAAAGAGGAAGGAAAAGTGTGTTTTAGGGAGACTCACAGAGGGCGTAAAAAAAGGTCAATGTATACTCTAAATCACTGCAATGTCATAGTGACTTCCCCCCCCCTAGAAGAAGGATTTCTAAGACTTTTTAAAAAATATATCATCCAAGGGTGTCTGACACCATAACCTGCTTAGCAGTGTCCTAGCCACAGCACTCATGGTTTATTTGGTCATCTGCTGTACATCTGGAATCCTAAAAATACAGCAGTGTATTTCTATAATCCAGTAACATTCATTTTCAGTAACCGAATAAAGCATTTGCATCACCCATGGTGAACAGAGGAAGAGACATGCCTACCTTCGCCATGCTTTAGGAGGGTAATAAAGAAATGCTCGACTTTCATTTTAGGACAAAGGTCAATAAACTACAGGCCATAGGTCAAAGGTACCTAGGTGTTTATTCTTATAAACACAGTTTTATTTGGATATATACATACTCAATTCCTGTACGCATCATCTAGACCTGCTTTGGTTTTAAAATGGCAAATTTGAGGAGTCACTATAGACCAATATTTAGGCTTCGGAAGCCTAAAATATTTACGACCTTTTTATCTCCAGACAAAGATGTTCTAACCTCTGTTCTAGGTTCCCCTGATGGCATGAGGGTCGCTTTTCTCATGGATAACTTCTAATGATTGATTGGTTAGCCATGTGACTAAACTCACTCTTACTCTCTGCAGGCAACTCCACTGAACTCACAAATACACAGCACAATTTCATGTATCTCTTACAATCTGGGTGGGGGGGCTGTGAAATGTCAATTGCTACTTCCAAAAGTACTTAACACCTGACCACTAAGTAATTTAAGTACTATGACTCATTTGGAATGAAAAAAAATGCAAAGATGTATTATTTTATTATGCCATATTAGACATAATTTCAAAGGATCTGTAACCACATAATGTTAAGGATCAGAATAGCTGTCTATGTAAGGCTATTTGGGCATTTCACCATCACAAGCCAGTATTATTACTTAGATTTGCATTACAATGAAATGAACATGTTCATGGAAAATGCCCTACATGAAGTTCTGAATTGAGAGGAAACAACATATACAGAAGTCATGGTGATACTGTACAGTTCCTAGGTGATGAAGGGTTAGGAGAAAGTGGAAGCACCAGAACTCTCAGCTCTGTTTTCCCAGGGCAGCCCCTAAGGCCTGCCTCCCTCTAGGAACATGAGCAGCACGCTAATGTTTAGCTTCAGTTCTACGTATAACCTGAGCTAGAGCAGCCTGCACCCCAAACTGGACACTTCTGATGGAGACAAAAATTCATTTCTCATTCTCTTTTATCAAGTAGCTCAAGTTTGTCCCAGACAGGCTTTTTGGATACCAAGACTCTGTGGCTTCCGGAAGTAAGGTGAACGATAATTAAAGCAACCAAAGTCAGTTTGGCAGCATAGCTGGGACACAGTGGTCTCCTGCAAAGAAGCAGAGCTTACCTTGTCCTTGAACTCTCTGAAAACGTCTACCAGCTTCTGTGCATCAGTACTGGTAAGAGTTTCTCAGTTTACCAGACTGTCAAAGGTGTGTGTGACCAAGAGACAGCAAGGATCAGGTATGGCTGGGGAATGCAACTATCAGAACCAAGTCCCAGTAAACATGTAAAATGGGCCCTGCTTATCCCCCTCTTTTCCCTTTGTATTTTTTTGACTAAATTATAAGAGCAACAAGTTAGCTAGCAATTCTAATTCATTGCAGCAACTCTAATTTTATTAACTATAATTATTACTCTAAGTATATTTAATCTGCTCTAATTTGCACAGCAGCTATGTTGTTCATAAGTTAATCATGTTCTGAAAGGTGTGAAAATTCTAGAGATGGAGAGTTGGCGATTAATTCGACTATGAAGGAAACCCCAGCTCTGTAAGGACTGATACATTTGGGGGCAAGCACTGCAGGGGTCCACATTCATATTCCATTTCTCAAAGCTAGAAGACAACATAAATATGCATAGAAATGAAACAATTGCACGTTTCAAACAGGTACATAACTTCTTTAAGAATTAAACTTTGGTAGCCCCAAGATTACAAGTGAGGAAACACAAAAGTTGTGTCTAAATTTGCAAAGTGAATTAATAATAAAAATCCTAGAATAAAAAAATACCATTAATAATTAAGCCAAAACATCTTATAAATTTTATGGAAACTATATGTTTTATAAATAGATATGGCAGCTCATTAATCTCTAATCAGATGATTATCACTTTATTCTCACTGATAGTAAAATATATAGAATTTCAGTATTTTTTTTCAGGGTGCCTAAATAAGGGCTTGCATGGGCTTAACAAAAAGCCAATTTCCATGAATTGGTTGTTTAACACTGAATATAGTTGAATTAAGTGAGGTAAGCGATGAAAGGTTTTAAAAATATGTCTATGGCATTTACATAGAAGGTGCAAGCTGAAAGACATAAGGAAATATGCAGGGTTTTCTAAAAGAAAACCCTCCTTTAGAGTTACAGTAGATTTTAAGAGTTGTGGAATTTTTTCCTTAGTCATATAGTCAGAGCTGAAAAACGGTTCAATGTGCTCCTTTTTGAAGGCCACTGCATTTGTCCTCTTCAATCCTATTAAGAGACTGGAATTTTGAGCTTCCATAACTTCAGGCAAAGAGAGTGCTTTTTAGAAACAGTTTGCTTGTTATGTCTATTTATTTTTATAGGACGGATAGATGTAACAACTTATTGGTCATAAGTGAAAGGCTCTCATCTCTCCCTAAGGGTCCAGTACGTTTTATTGAGGCATTTTTGAGAGAAACACACTAATACCGTGGTGGTATTAGCTTAAGGATCTATCAGTCCATTCTTGGTTACAAACATTACTCTGAAAATTTGTCTACAGAAATGCTCATGTTAAGTCTATTACTCCTTTACTAGTACTTTGAAAACCATGCTTTATAAAAATAATAGAAGTGGATTTGCATATTTTAAATATGATTTTATACATACCAGAATTTAAAGCTCTTTTTCCCATTAGTCCAACAAAGGAATCTGTTTTATGCCCTGGAAAATACATTTAGGGGTATTTTAGTATTATGTCTTTGAAGAAATAAACTCACAACTAGTACAAAGTATAGCAAGCTTCTGAATGTATTCTTGTATAATAAATATACTCTTCCTTCACATACTGGTGAACCCATAGAAGATTTTATATAACTTTTACAAATCACACTAAAACAATGCATTGCAAGGACTTTTCTCAATTCTATATCCAGACATTAGCAGAATCTTTGATCTGTATTATATTTCATCAACTGTGAGGTTCTATGCCAACACAGTGGGCTTTGAAGTTTTGGGAGTCAATAACACATTTGTTTGAAAGAAATATAAAGTTTATTTTTCATTAGCAAATATATTGCATTGCTCAACGAGTGAACCTTAAGCCTGATCTCTATCCTTGGTGGCTGTAATATTCTAAGAGTTCACATTTAGTGGGTTTAGACTTAAAAATACTCTTTTTTTTTAAATGAAAACATGTTGGTTTTGACACTACTAGGATACATTTATTTTTATTACATATTTTAGCTTTGTAAAATCCTCTTATTTAAATCTTTAGAGGGTAAATATGAATAGAGTTTTTTCCTCCAAAGATGAAGGGAAACGTTATTATCTTACTGCCACTGGGGGACTTTTTTCCTGGTTTCCACTGTTATTTCAGACCAGGGTTAAGGTTTGGGGTCTACCCTGACACTGGGTAAATCAATCCATGGCACTCACAGAAGCAGGCCACACTGCCAGGGACCCATGGGACTTCCTGTCATCTCTGGATCCAATTAACTAGGGAGCATCTCTAAAGACCCTCTAGTGACACAGTTCTGCAATCTTCACTCTCCTCTGTCAGGTTTCCCAATCAATTATAGGATCAAGGGGAAAAATAGCCCTGCATCTTTATCTGTTTTCATATTTTAAGTGGATTTTCTGCTCAAATGATCACCCACTCCATTTAATTAGCAGCTGAATAACCACCTTTCTTGCTATTATAAGATCAAGTTCATGAATATGAGTTGGAAGGTGTATATAAGTGCTCTTTTCTGTATGTTCATGGGTGGGAAGTTGAGATGAAAGCTCGTGATGAATGTTTAACCCTACAGTGGAAATTCTACAAATAAAAATGTATAAGTCTTAATTCTTTTTTCTTTTTAAAAGGAATATATGCTTTGGCGTCCATTGTACTTACACAATAGTTTAGTCATGGTGATTATGTATCAAATCATATTCTGGATATGTCTTTTCCTTTCCTACATCACCTTAATTAAAATTACTGGGCCCCATGTTGTGCCTCAAAAGGTAGCATGAAGTAGAATTCAATGTCACTAACAGTAGCATTTGATAAATGTCAAAATAATTGTGAACTTACTTTTGTGAGAGATCTGGCCATGTCCTAGCAGAAAAGAGAAGCAGACATGCAGGTTTAGTTTGAAAAGCTACTTTAAATGTTTGGCAGAGAACTTAAAGACTTATTTTCAAAATATTTAACACTTTCTATTTATGTACCATCTGGGGGAATCAAGTAGATGAATGATAATCAATTTATTAATGAAAGCCAAATATTTTAACAATCAAAGGAATAAGTATTGAATAACCTTCTGTGGGCCATGGGTTAAAAGGTGGAAGTGTGGGACTTTGAGCTCTGTTAATAATAGCAAGGCTGTACTGACTTCAAGATTGGTCATCTGCTCACTCCACATGCACAGGAGCTCAACACACACACACACACACACACACACACACACACACACACACACACACACACACCTCTTAATTAGGCATAACTGCAAAACCTTGTATTTCTAGCCTTAAAATACTTCCTTACATGACCATTCATAACAGTAAAATAGAGATTTATAGGAATGATTACCATAAAGAGCCTTTAACAGGGCCACTTGTTTTTCAATTGAGGAATCTGACAAGAAATGAATTAGCATTAACTCTTCACACGCCCCCCCCCACTGTGTCATCAACTCAAGGCAATGGAATATTTCTCTCACTGTAGCCAAATCTTTTCCAATCCCAGGAACACTATAGCATCTTTCACCCCAAGCCTGGACATACCCAGAGACCCTTTGCAATTTGCATCCTTAGTCAGGAAAGTGTTTAATTAACATTAGTTCCCAGTTTGGGTCATTTTGGTGCTGTGAAGGATGAGAAATGGATCTTGACCCCTCCTGCCCACCTCCCCCCCCCCTCGTGGGCTAGTGCATATGTTAATGAAATGCAGATCAGAGTTTTCCAGGAATCACAAGTCTTTCAGTGTATAAATTTATACTCTCAGGCAAGAAGACACTTGGGTGCTCCAGGAAGGAGAAGCATGCAGATCAGATAGCTGGATAGACCTAGTGACTATTGCTCATCTCACCAGCATCCCGTTTGCCCATTAATCCAAAGAACTGCTGAGGCTTGGGTCTCCGGGCGATTCTCTGCAGAAGATGCTCAAAGGGTTCTGGCAGCGCCTCCTGGGGGACAAACCCGCGTGTACACGTGAGTGAACCCGGGTCAGTTACACCTTGCGCCCCAGCTTCTCCAGGAGCCACAGATCCCCCTGAGGTCATGGGCTCACAGGAGTTCAGGTCACATAAGAATCTATGCAGCGCTTTCCCCCCACTTAACCCCGCCAGGGGCCAGGGACTTCCTTATCCCCAAAGTGGACCCTGGGTGCCCCTGCCCAGCATCACAACACCTTCTGGTCCTGTGCATTTTCTGCTCTTTATCCCAGCAGAAGACTCACTCTACCTTTGTCTGTTCTCAGCGAGATTTCAGAGACACACCCTCCCCCCCCCCCCGTTCTACGTGCACACAGTGGGGATGGATGCAGAAGTGAATCAGTACTTTACAAGCGACCCTGCACCATCTCACAACTTTCTGTTTCCCAAGGCGCACTCCTTCGCACCAATAGCTGAGAGCCATGTAACAGGAAACTTGGAACATCAAATACAGGAGTGTGGAGTTTGCTTCAGACCCTGAGACCCCCCCCCCCTGCTCATTAAGATCCCGCTTTTGCCCCCATCTTCTCTGTTCACTTCTCTGCTCAGCATCTCCAAACGCTCTGGCAACACCACTGGACCAAAGCCCCTAAGATTCCATAATTAGGCACTAAGACCTTGCGACATTTCCAGCCTGTTGAGGACACAGCTCTTTAGAGAGTATTGATCCCGCTGGGGAGACACCACTGAATCCGCAACACAGCCCTCCCGCTTGGAGGAAACTTAGTTCTGGGCGCAAAGCCTTGTGTGTGTGTGACCCGGGGATGACGCCCTTTACATTCCACTGTGCCTCTCGGGCTGGGCTAATCAGGGTGCTACCACAGGGGAAGGGAAAAGCTCCCATGCCCGGTTGGGTCTCACCTTGATCTGGTCACTGTCGGACCAGTCGGACCAATAATTTAGATCATCGTTGGCTCCGATTTCCTCTGCAAACAGTTGAGTGGAAACGAGAAAAAAGACCGCCGCGGCCACGAGGATTTTCATGTTGGATTTCTGGGGACAGTGGGAGAAAGGACAGGAGACATTACACACACGTAGGCGGTGACCACCCAAGAGTTAGAGCTGCAGAATTTCGGTGCCACAAGAAAGGGAAAACAGGTCCCGCTAAACCAAAATAAGAAAAATCGGGGTAACATTTCTCCGCACCCAGTAGGATGGAGAATAATGCTCCATGGAGCCTCAAATTCTGCTCTCCGCAGCCTCAGCCTCCCAGACCCTCAACCCACTGATCCACACCTTCAAGCCTGGAAACTCTGCAGGTGGGGGACAAAGAGGGGAGACGGCATTTGCGCAATCCCCTCCTGTCTGAGGCTGCACGGAGCAAAGCCAGGCGGGACGCCACCTCCGAACCAGGCAGGACCAGTGGCCTGCAGCTGGAAGCCGGGAGAGGTACTCACTGCGGTCAGCCCAGCGGGGATGCTCGGCAGGTGCGCACTCGCTGGGCGCTCCTCACTCTCCTTGGTCTCGGTGCAGGAGTGGAGCAGGTCCGACGGAGTGCGCTCTAGTTCCTGCTCCTGCTTCGCGGTATTTATCACAGGCGTGACGAGCCTAGAGAGCCACGTGACACTCCCCACGCGACTTTCTGCTCAATATTTGATTAGCCGCCCCCTCGCCTTTTGCTTGCGTGATGGAGAGTTTCCGAGACGGTAACCCGTCGGTGCCCATAACATCTGGACCCAATTGGGTTCGAAATGACGCAATTTTAGGGAAGTCGAGGTCTCACCACCCAATCCAAAGAAGCCTATTTTCTTCCGTCTGCAAATCTGACGCCCCCTCCCCTCTTCTTCCGAACAAGGTTCAGTGACACCTTAGATTACTCATCAAAACTGAGCAGAGTGACTCATGCCTCGGACTTCAAGAACTTTTCTCTCAAGAGACCACAGGAAAAGTTGCGCTTTTGAGAACGGACAAATCACTTCGGCATTAAAACCTTGTTGTGGGAAATCACACTAAGACAGGAGCAAGGACTTTAGTGGGCTGGAGCAAGCGGCTTTTTCCTCCCATTTCTACCTCCATGTGTCTTAAAGGATGGTGAGGCGGTTCATGTAAGACTCAATTGACAGTTCTCCCTAATCAGCCAAATTCTCTCCCCTTTCTCTGGCATTGCAAAAGAGCTTCTGTCCAATATTTCAGAGGATCAAAGCTTAGGGGAAAAGAGAAATTTAAAGCTGATGTAGAATGTACTCATCAGCCATTCGAGGACATCTTTTCTTCACATTGTCATGTGCAGACAGGATCAGAAGAGGATAATCGCATCTCTCCTCTGGGTATTCTCACTGGAGGACTAGGATGCTGGATACTCATCATTTGTCATCACAGGGCCCTGCAGGTCGGTCAGAGTCAGACGTCATTAGCAAACACGGTTACAGATGAGTTCTGTCCTAGCAGTGAACGAAGTGATGCAGTTGCTTGTTTTAGTTTTTTTAGACTGCGTCTCGTTATGTGACTTTAAACTGATTATTCTGCTTCAGCCTACCCAGTGCTGGAATTATAGGTGTGTGCCACCACAACTGGATTGATGTTGTCTTTGAGTAGAGCTGTTTTCTCTTGAGAATTATATTTTTTCTATAATGTTTTCCGTGTAGCAAAGGAAATTAGTGTTTGAGAGCCAAACCGATGTTTCCTCTCTAGTGTTTATTGTTTTATTTTTAACCTAGATGGATTTCATAATGTGAGCATTCTTTTTTTTTTATTTTCAAAACTTTTAAAATGGGAAATTGTGAACAGAAATGTAGAATCATTCACCTGAGACAATTTGTAAATTCATGTAAGTCCCCAGTTCCCCTTCACCCAGAACATTGTAAGCAAATTCTCACAAGCAAAAGAAACAGTATTTCAACCCAAGGGAAGGACTTCCAAAATGAGAACATCATTCTGGCATCATTAAGTGTTTAAGTGTTCTCTGGAAGTCCTCACTACCTCTGGTTAAAATCAGAATTACAATGAATCTCATACACATATCCTATCTGATCCAGTCTGGGCAGACACAGATAGATACCATGAACTGGGTGATTTATAAACAGCACAATCATTCTTGTTATTGCTGTGAAAACTGCCAGTCTGAAGTCAGGTGTCAGGGTGGCCTGATTCTCATGAGAGTCTTCCTTGTGGCTTCAAAATACCATTCTGTGTCCCTGTTGAGTCCTGTATGACAGGGAGAGTTCAAGGGTTATTGGATCCATTTTGAAAGGGCTCTACTCATATTTATGAGGGTTTTTCCCTCATCACCTAATGGCATATTTTTACACGACTTTACCTTGATCTTACATTTCAACTACAAAGGGTTGGGGGTGACAGGAGCTCACTATATGTGTCTTAAAGCCCCCTCCCTTCTTTTTAGTAGTTGATTGATGAAGCAGGTCAGTAGAGTGTGCTACTTTCTGTATTTTTCTGGTTCTTCTTCACTTTTCCTTTGTTCTATTTATCTCCTTATCTAGAAGCTTAACTCAGTTTTATGCTTATTTCTGACAGGGCTTCCCTGTGTGTTTTGTAGCTCTTTTCAGAAACACAACTTTATGAGTTGTCTTCAGCATTGACAATTGTCTTGTATGCCCTTGTCTTTAAGACTAGGACCTCACAGACTTAAACATACTCAGAACATTTCAATGTAAGACAGATGCTTTTTTAACTGATGCTCAAATTATGACATTCTTGGCTAGTAGATGACTCTGCCAAGGCTCTTGGTATGACTTTAATAGGATGTGATAATTTTCTAGGTTTTGGTCTGAAAATATTTCAGATTGAAGCTTTGTGCTTCCTATTCCAGATTCCTAGTCTCCCTCTAATGAGCCTTTATTTACATTGACTTATAAATGATAATTAGCATAAACTGGGCATTTAGGCCTGCATTGTTGTCAGGTTCCTTACTTCAAGATTATTCCAATGTATAGAGCTTGGGGGATGGTGGTTGTTGTGTGTGTATATATGTAGATGAGTGTGTATGTTCATGTATTCTGTATGTATGAGTGTGATATCTATGAGTCAGCATATATGTGTGTGTACTGTGTAAAATCATGAATATGTGGACACTTTCTAAACAAATAAGAATATCTCGGTCCTTATTTAACTTTCTCTATTTTACAACAATGTCAATAACAAAATCCCCAGTTGCCAATCAGATTCACATGGCCACTCACCCACACAATTGTCAACATGATCAACAACATCTTATTAGAAACAGATAATAGTTTTTGTTTGCATTTTTTCAGTCTTTAGGGTCATAGGTTAGGTATGTCCAATCAAGTTATTGCATTTAAAAATTGTTTGTAAACTGTCTGTAAATGGTTATGCTGCCAAGCCTTATTTGCTCATTTTGCTCTTGAATTTAGGAGGTACATTTAACTCAATCTTACAGTTGTGTAATATGCCTGATCTAAAATGCAGTCATTAATCTCAAACACTAACAACAATGTATTCAAAGCCCTGTAGCTTTTGGCCTTGCTTTTCCCTCCTCTTTGCTGGACACAGAGTGTGAGTTGTTTCCCGGCGGTTCATAGGCTACACACTTGGTCAACAATGTGGCCATGTTGATAAATGGTGAGACATTTAGTGAATAAGTTGTAGTGTTGGGTTATCAGTCATAAAACATGCTGGCTTTGGAAGATATTAGCATAGTTTTGTGGGGTTTCTGCTTAGTTCCTGGCAGAAGTTGTTATGTCAAGCAGCCAGGTTCTCACTCAGAGTTGCATTCTGTTTTTCTGATGTGATCACTTCCTCTTGAATGTATCCCTATAGTTGTGATGATATCTCCTCTGAGATCTTAGTCAAAGCTCAATAAATATTAGTACTTAAACCATTTCCCATTTTGTTTGTGATATTTATTAAATATTCCTTAATTTTCTTATTACTATCGTAGATTTTCTGACACATTTTCCCCTTGAACATAGTAGAACTGAGAATATTTGCATTGGTAACCACTGCATTTCCCTGGACACTATATCTTTAAAATATAAATTTTAATAAAATGCAAGTGTTCCTAATGCATATTATGCTCATGAGTATTGGAATGGTGAGCAAAGTATTTAATGCTCCATATTTTCATGTTTGCCAATGAATCACTTGTAGGAAAATATAAAGAGGGTCTGGAGAGATAGTCAGTGGTTAAATGCCCTTGTTACTTTTGGAAAAGATAAGGGTTCAATTCCCAGCACCCACAGGGTATCTGGCAAGCACCTGTAATTCTAGTCCCAAGGGATCTGCTGCTCTCTTCTGTCCTCTTTGGGCACTGCACACAGGTAATACATACAAAACACCTAAAATAAAAATAAATACATCTTAAAAGAGAAAACCAAAAAGATGCTGTTGTCCATTTTCATGTGACTGAACATAAACCCCTTCTAAGCTTTTTATACTGTTAACAATTTAAAGAAAAAAGCGTTAAATTATTTTCATAAAATACAAAAATGAAAAATCAAGCAATGTACCAAAATAAGTTCACTTTAAGAAATTATTCCCAGACTGACTCAGACCCCCTAAACATGGGTCTCAGCCAGAAGGCCTGAGCAGTCTAAGGAACCTCAGACAGTGGAACCAGGAGGTATTTCTGGTGCACAAAAGGACCTTGCGAACATATCCCCCATGGAGGGATAACTGCCTTAATCTAGAGACAGAAGAGAAGTCCTAGTCCCTACTTCAAATGACTTGAAAGATTTAGATGACCCCTCCTGGATGGCATTGCTCTACCTGTGGAGTGGGAGGGGGTGGGAGGGGAGGGTGGGGGTGCATGTGAGGGGGGAAGAGAGGGAAAGAGGGAGGGTGAAAGAAAGAGAGGCAGAGGGAACTGGGATCAATATGTAAAATAAAATAAAAAAATAGAGATTTTCAAGAAAAAAATAATAAAATTAAATAAATAAATAAAAGAAAAATTATTCCCAGAGGCTGGAGAGGTGGGTGGAAAGAATGGGAGAGAAGGGAGGGGAAATTTTGGTCAGGATGTAAAATGAATAAATAAATTACATTAAAAATGAGGATGTTAGCATTCCTAGGCTCCCTCCCAGCCTCCCCCAACTCTTCCCCATTCAATTTTTTATGTGATACCTTGTTCTGTTATTTGACATCACTGAGGCTTTTAGCACTCATCATCAGTTTTCATAGCAGATTTTTGTTAGTTGTCTGCTATTCACTCTTTGTTTAAGTGGAGTCACAGGTCCCTGCCAAACCTTTTAACCTGACTTTGCCATCCTCCAGTTGATTTTTAATCATCCCTCACTGCTCAGTGTCATTGTCAAGCAAATTTTCCTTCTGTAAGAAGTGAATGTCTGTCAGTCACTTGTATGTCAAATGACATCTCAAGCAGTTCTAATGGTTTTAGACTAAATTTCATTTTCCACAGAACTGTGTGGACTTTCCTCCACAGCCTTGATTACTGATCATTAAAAGGCATTCTGGGCTGGCAGGGAACCTTCTCCTGCATCTTGCATGGCTTGCTTTCCTGCATGAATGGCGGAAGAATCCTTTATTTCTGGCATTCAGAAGTGCGAATGGGATCTGTCCCTTGTTCATTGCAATGTAGCTCCCATTTTCCTGACGCATTCCAGCATTATTTTTCTTGAGTTGATTATTCGCCTAATTTTTTCTTTTTTCATTTTAGAGAAATTTTATTGTGCAATGACCTTGAATTTGACTTGAAACAGAATGTCTAGTTTGAGAACATTGCAGCACTTTTGATCAAATTATAAGTGCTAGTTTATTACGGGTAACACCAAGGGGAAGACTGATCTTTCCCGAAGGATGAATTTAAGCCTTTGCATCTGTATCCCCTTCATCTAGCTCATTTTTTCCCTG